AATAACCCCAACTATACATACAATATGATGGGGGCTAATTTAGCTACAACAATGTCCATGCAGTGTGCAGAGGCGGTCAAAAAAGCAAACAGGCTGTTAGGAATCATTAAAAAGGGGATAGAGAATAAATCAATGGTACGCCCTCATCTCGAATACTGCGTACAGATGTGGTCTCCTCATCTCAAAAAAGATAAACTGGCACTAGAAAAGGTTCAGAAAAGGGCAACTAAAATGATTAGGGGTTTGGAACGGGTCCCATATGAGGAGAGATTAAAGAGGCTAGGACTCTTCAGCTTGGAAAAGAGGAGACTAAGGGGAGATATGATAGAGGTATATAAAATCATGAGTGATGTGGAGAAAGTGGATAAGGAAAAGTTATTTACTTATTCCCATAATACAAGAACTAGGGGTCACCAAATGAAATTAATAGGCAGCAGGTTTACAACAAATACAAGGAAGTTCTTCTTCATGCAGCGCATAGTCAACTTGTGGAACTCCTTACCTGGGGAGGTTGTGAAGGCTAGGACTATAACAGCGTTTAAAAGAGAACTGGATAAATTCATGGTGGTTAAGTCCATTAATGGATATTAGCCAGGATGGGTAAGGAATGGTGTCCCTATTCTCTGTTTGTCAGAGGATGGAGATGGATGGCAGGAGAGAGATCACTTGATCATTGCCTGTTAGGTTCACTCCCTCTGGGGCACCTGGCATTGGCCACTGTTGGTAGACAGGATACTGGGCTAGATGGACCTTTGGTCTGACCGGGTACGGCCTTTCTTATGTTGTAAGCAAGACACAAGAAGTAATTCTTCCACTCTACTCTGCGCTGATTAGGCCTTAACTGGAGTATTGTGTCCAGTTCTGGGTGCCACATTTCAGGAAGAATGTGGACAAATTGGAGAGAGTCCAGAGAAGAGCCACAAAAATGATTAAAGGTCTAGAAAACATGACCTATGAGAGAAGATTGAAAAAAAATTGGGTTTGTTTAATCTGGAAAAGAGAAGACTGAAAGGGGACAGGATAACCGTTTTCAAGTATGTAAAAGATTGTTACAAGGAGGAGGAAGAAAAATTGTTTTTCTTAACCTCTGGGGATAGGATAAGAAGCAATGGGCTTAAATTGCAGCAAGGGCAGTTTAGGTTGGACATTAGGAAAAAATTCCTAACTGTCAGGGTGGTTAAGCACTGGAATAAATTGCCTAAGGAGGTTATGGAGTCTGCATCACTGAAGATTTTTAAGAGCAGGTGAGACAAACACCTATTGGGAATGGTCTAGATATAATATTAGTCCTGCCATGAGTGCAGGGGACTGGACTAGATGACCTCGCAAGGTCCCTTCCAGTTCTATGATTCTATGTGACTGTTAAGCTTAAAGCCAGAGAAAAATATCCAGACAATTTTAGAAACTGCATTATAGTTTTTCACAGTATTATACAGTATATTAAAATTCTTCTTTCTAAGGAAACTGTGGTATAGTTACTTATTCTTTCTTTTCATCACTACCACAGCTTCCTGTAAACTGCAATCTCTCTTTGAGATTAAAAATGCACTTACTCATCAACCCTTTTTGCCATACAGATAAGGATCACTGATCTATTTAAAAAAATAGTGGATTTCTAACTCTTCTCATACTGAAAGCAGAGGCATCAGATGAAGTTGTTGGTTTATTTTTTTTAAAGCTTCTTTCAAGAACATGGCGGGGCTTGCTATTTTTAGTCTTTACTAGCTTAAATACCACTTTGATAAAAACAGGCTCAAAATGAGTATTCACAAAAAGTGAAACCAGCAGACTCCCACTCACACCAAAGCTATAGCCTGCTAATAACTATGCATTTCATCCATCTGTTATGTTCCAGTTTGACATGTTTTCAGCTCATGATTGATTTGGAAAAACAACAATCATTTACTTATTTTTGTGGCCACTTCTTGTGTTTAAAAGAACCCCACAAACAACCTCCTTCCAACCCCGATCTCCCACCCCCAACATACATTCTTGACTAGGATGTTCACTGCAATCTGGATTCTAATCTCTTTCTACACTTTGTGTTTTGTTCTCTATTTTAGAACTTTTTAATAAAATCCATTTCAACTTCTACACCATAAGGGGCTGGAATGCATTTCAATTTTTTTTTAAACATTTCTCCCCTTACCTCCCTTATCTTAAAAAAAAAAAAAAAAAAAAAAAAAATTACAAGATAAGAAACTGAACATCCTATAAATTGAAACTTGTTTAACATTTGAGTCTGATCAGAAGCAGGCCTTGCATGAGTTATACTGTGTGGCTTAATGTGACTTTTGTCCCTTTCATGTGGGTCTGAAGTCAGCACCTGAATTTTACAGATGGAGAAAGTGAGGCAGAGAGGGCACACTGCAGGTCAATGACAGATCTGTGATGAGAACTCTGGAGTAGAGCTGGGCAAAATATTTTGGTCAAAAAAAATTTTTTTCCAGGAAAAGGTGCAGATTCATCAACACAAAATGTTTCATGATTCATGTCCGTTTCGCCAAATCATTTGTCTCAGTCCTCCTCCCTCCACCCCCAATTCAGAAAAAGTTTAAACGTTTTGTTTCAATACTTTTGAAATGTTCAATTTGTTTAGGCTGAAACAACTTCATTTTGTAATTTCCTTCAATTTTACACTTAAAAGCAAATATGATTTTTTAAAAAAAAAAAGCTCAAAATTTGTGGGAAACTTCAAAAACACTCATTTAAAAAAAAAAAACAAACACACACCTGAAAAGTATTTTTACCTTTTCAGATTAATGTTTGAAAACCAAACATTTTTACTGGAAAATTTTGTTTTAAAACCAGAAAAATTCAATCAAAATGAAAACTTTCTGTTTGAACTTTCAATTTGGTCACACAATTATTTTGTCAAAATATGATTTTGGTGAAAAAATTGACAAGTAGAATTAAGCCTTCCCCAACTCCTAGGTGGCTATAAGTAGTAGTATAACATTATGTTTGCAGATGAGGAAGCAGAGGGACAGAGAAGTGATTCAGGAAGGAGCTGAGAATAGGACCTACCTGTCCTGCCTTCAGGTGAAGTCAGTAGGAGTGCAGAGTGGAGCCTAGGAGTCTCTACGGTGCTGATGAAGATTGATCAAGAAGAGCTGGCAAGAAGAGCTAATAGTTGGCTATTTTGTGGGGTAAAGGCTAAGGTAAGTTCCAACCAAAAAAAAAAGTGCTTTTGAAATATGTATTTGTTTCACAGTAGTACATTTGTGTGTCGTATTATTGAAGAGAAGCTTGTAACCCAGTGAAGTGCGTCAAGATCATAACAATTGTAGCTTTTTACTAAATATTGTAACCTCTTAATTCCTTGGGAACTAATTACTTTCTACTAGAGTGGAGAAACTGGATTGTCTCATTTATGCTCCTTAATATGAGACAATAGGAGTAAGGAGCCACTGACTTTAAACATACCTCATCTACTTTTATTTGCAATGGTAAAATGCGGTAATTAGTATAAATAATGCCTAGACTTACTGTCCGTTACAACAAAAGAACATTGAAATTTTACTTCAATCCTTTTTTGCTGCTGAATACTCTGTTATAAGCTGTTGTGTCTTTGTTGTTTCCAAAATGTTGTTTGGATTGCATGCTTCAAAGAGAGCTTGACCTTCATTTATTGTAATTACTACAACGACATTTCACAATTCGACACTGGCAAAGTTTAATCTTTACCTTTCTACCATGAAGAATGATCATCTGGTATGTATTGAGGCAAGTACAAAAGGATCAACATAATGCTTTCAGCTCTCAGAGTTGCATATGCGAGAGCGTTGCTGCATTCACTAACTTTTTTCATAACACTAGCTCTGAATGGAACTCACCTGGTACATGGTCAGATTTTCTTTGCAATGCTTTACCCATAGATGAACTGTCAATTCCTCCTTTACTTTGCCAGTGAGTTTGACCTTTGATGCTTGAGCAAGTAAGGATGATGGTTTTTGAGAGGCTCTCTCTCTCTTCAGAGGAGATTTCTCTAGCATCTTATCTAATTCTGTAGTACAATAGTAAGAATCAGTTTCATTACCAGTCTGTCTTATATTCCTTGTTTTCCTCCTTTGGGCCTGCTCCCTTATCATTTGGTTAAGAGTTTTTTGTTTTGGGTTTTACTTAGTTGTCAGTGATTTAAAAACAAAAACAAAGTGCCATGAATCAGTTGAACTTGCACTTTGGTTTTAATACATGTCAAGGCAATAAAGACCGATCTGCTGGCAATGTGTCATACCTTTTTGAGCTTCGTGTTTAATTGCCAGGAGGCTCTGTAGCAGAAATTGGCTTTGTAGATGCTGGCAAATGACATCAACTTTGGCTCTCGACTGTTTGCTTTCAGCCTGCCAGCCTTGCAAGCCTCATTTTCAACATCTGTTGTGTGGCCTTGTGAAGATTTAAGCCCATGTTATGTGTTCATATCGTATTTTAATGACTTAAAGGGAGCAAAAGTCCTTCACTGATAGGAATTATCGGAAGAGTGGTGGTAGACATCCTCAACTGAATTGAAAAATTTACTTGACAAACTTCTGCCAGAGAACAAAGACAGCCAGCAGTGACATTGAGTACACGCTGCTTTCAGCACTGGACTGAAACAGTTGTTCTGCAGTTTTATCTGAAGACTACAGTGTTTATCATTAGTAGATCCTTCCTTCCCCCCACAGTCAGGTGCCCTGATCCCAGCAGGAATCATGGCATAATGTGTAACTGATCTGGCATATTCCTCATGGAGAAGAATCGTACTCAAATGACCACTTACTTTCTGTTCTCTTTATAAACCATCCCTGAAGATGTATGAATGTACATAGCACCATCTTTCTGGTACTTGGGTTTAAGAATGCTCCAAGCAGAGCAGGTGTCTTTTGGCCTTCTCCAACTCACCTTCCAAGTTCATAGGTCTGTACAAAGTAGAAAAATAATTATCGACTCCTTATTAAAGTTAACAGCTTTCTAGTGAGCTCAGCTGAGGTCACAAATTCCAAGTGCTAAAATTATCTTGTCAGAAGAGCTTGATTGAAGTTGGAGGAAAATGTAATAAGAACTTCGCATTCCTCTGTAGAATTGTAGCTTCAGAGCTCCATAAAATCTCTCAAATTACTGCACTACAATTCGGCTCTTAGTTTTTGACTTTCCAAGTATAGTTAGAAATTTCCAGTCTCTTATTAATTGCTTTCCTTTGTTGATGCACTGGACTGCATGCTGCCTTTTGTTTCAGTTCTATTCTCCACCATTTGCCTTCAAGTCGGTTTTAGCTCCATGCAACTTCATATGGAAAAAAGAATTCCTTAATTCTAATTGTACCTTTTGTAGCAAAGTCCTTCTATTTTTGATAGACTTAGCTTCTGGAAAAAGAGTAGAGATGCTTGACTGGTAGGAGAAAAATATAATTTACTACCTGAAGTAAATTACTGGAAGGAAGGAAATTCTTTATAAACCATTCCTTTAACTCCCCCTGCTGCTCCTTTTCAAAAAAGAAGGGGGGAAAAATTAATGTATTGGAGAGGTTGAAATCCTTCTACTTCTTATATTGAGACCCTTCCAGACAAGTAGGTTGTACATGCTCATTGCACATAACCACCATCGAGGGCTAATTGCAACATGCCAAAGAGGTTGTTGTTTGTTCTTTCACCATCTCTTACCCTGTTCCTCTAGCCACATTTACAGAAGCAGTGCTGCAATAAATCCTTTAGCCTACTCTGGTCCTAATTGTCCCCAAGCTGACTAATCGTGTTGGCATTACTGAGGGAGCCGATGGTGCTCCAAACCAGCTCCCCTCACCAAATGTAAAGGAGTTGAAAAAACACGGCAGAGTGAATTTAATAAGAATTATTAACAAATTAGTCTGTTTTATATTAGGTAATTGGATCACTGACTAAAATACTTTCAATGGTCCCTGATCACAATATTTTTTCCTTTTCCCAAAAAGACAACATACTGTGATCAGGGACAAGTGGTTTCAGAAGAGGTACAGAGGAAGCATAGTCTAATCCAGGGGTTGGCAACGTTCGGCACGCGGCTCGCCAGGGT